GTTTTTGGGACTCTTTATATTGTAAACCACGGGAGGACCACACATTAGCAGAGGATTATTGTGGAAGATGGATCCAGGTGGATCTTGCTTGTGGAAACCTGCCATCTATAGATGATTCCCAGTTTAGCTGTTCCGTCCCTCTACTGGCTCAGGTTACTCTGACTCAACTGGTGACAAAATCTGCTGTAGGTACTACAATCCTCATGCTTCTGAAATGCTGTAACTGTTAAAGGGAAGTTGATTTGTTTTATAGACTTTTCTGAGTTTTTATTGACTTGACAAACTATTGGAGTGCAGCCACTCTGAAAGTATTTCTGCATTGCCCTTGAATTATGCCATCTCTGTTGAACTTGTGTGTTATTGGGAACACAGTGAAGCTATAACCTGATTCTACTGTTGGAGGAGGCGATCGTATGGCATCATATCTTCAGTAATAAAAGTCCCTCCGAATAAGCTGTTGTTTAACAGCCGAGCCCGACTCTACACGGTCTGTACAGGATCATTTATTAGAGCACAGCTTCACCGCATTGCAGGTGTGGTGCTTTTCATGCATCTACTTGATTTTCTTATGCAGTATAGATTCACAGTACAGGTACAAAACACTGAAAATGTGTAGTGCAGGTTCTTGTTTAGGGGAATTAGATGGATAGATTTGTATGGTTCGAATAGAGGTGATTTGGCTGCTTACCAGGAAGATTGATATGCCAGTGGAGGACAGGGCTGTTATAGCTTGAAGGGCTTTTATTGACATCTTCAGGGGGATATGCTCACTGTCTTTTTTTAATGTTGTTTTTAAATCCTCTAAGGTCAAGTAAAAGGAACTTAAATAACAGGACTTGTCCTGCTTTTTTAGCATCTGACCAAAGCCACAACAAAGTGCACAATACTGTTTATCTTAATGTTCAGCAAAAAGTACTGTAAGCCAATATCTTGAATTCTTTTATTGCATGTATAAATTATAAGGCTCTGTCATGGAAGTGGCTGTGATACATCTGGGTTTGTCTTTCTTGGGTATGACCAAGGGTTTTGCTAAAGCCTCAGGCACTATATTAGTCTGAACCATGATGATGTGTTTGTTTCCAAATCTGTACCTGTTTTCTGTCTCCACAGAAGCATGTTTGTTCCCTCTTTAACATGTGTTTTTGACTTCAGGCTGTTTCAGATACATTTTCTGGAATGCCTTTGTTCGAAGTCACATAAGCAAGTTGTTTAACAGACTTGGTTTCTAAGATCTGAATGTGTTAAATGTGAGGTTACAAAATAACAACCAGAAGAATACAGCAAAAATGTTCATTCTGTTTCAGACTGGGATTAGGGATAAATGTAAGGTTGCACTTTTGACTTGACTTAAATTGCCACTTTGTACTCTAATTACAATCATGATAGCCAAAAGAGTCATAGAAAAACAATTTGGTAATTTGGTTGTTAAGCGTTCATGTAACTTCTTTCACTTTCCAAAAAAGCATAGGCTTGTACTGCACGGTTTGAACAAAGCCAAGCTTTCTTTCCAAGTTTTTCTGTCCATTCTTAGAAATTCCAGACCCTGCTATGACTCTTCCTGTGTCACTTGGATGAAATTCTGAAGATGCTATAATTACAAGTTGGTCAGGACCAAAGCTCTCAGGGATTCTGCTGAGGGTGAAAAAACACCCCAATTATAGCCGTGTGTGAGAGAGAGTGAGACGAAGATGGCGAGGATGGAGGCAGAGAGTAACAAGAGAAGAGCGGATGGAGAGAAAGACAGAGAGCAGCAGTCAGACGAGCCAGATTTTCGCTTGCTCGTGTGAAATATAGCCAATTACAGCTGCAGTTTGCAGCGCTGCCTGCTGTGTCAGCAGCTGTCTGTCTTCCTCTGTCACCGTAGTGATTTGGGGACTTAACTGGGGACTTTATGTTTAATTATGTTTCAGTTAAAATTTTCTTATGACGAACGTATCATTTTCAGGCTTTTTGGGTGACATTTTCTTTGACCAAATTTGGTTTTCCTGTCTGATGTCTGTATGATCTTCTTCAGTGTTCTTCCCTCTAATTTATTTTCCCATCTTTTTATTTCTGTGTGCATGCCAGTGGCTATTTTGTGGCTTGGAACAGACTGTGAAAGGTGGTTTTTAAAAAGGACTTGAATCATAGGCATTTGTATCACTTCACTTGGGCCTAGCAACTGTTTCACAAGCAAGATTTTCTACCATAGCCACTCAAAGTAGGTTAAAAATGTTCTTTAATTTCTTATATTGGTTTATATAATTCTCTTTATATTATTTATTTTTAATTATAATAATTGCATCCATTTCTATTCTGTTTAATTCTACTTGAAATCTTTTTTTCACTTTTCTTTGGTGTCTACTTTAAGGTAGATCTTTGCTGAAAAAATGGATGTAAGCAAGTCTGATTATTATTATTAATTTATTTATTTTGCCAATACTGGTTTTTAAAATTTATCTGAGGTAAAACAAAATGTCATTTATATATAATTCTGTTGTAACGTAGCATCAGAAGATGTAGAAATGACCTAATATCACTGCTGAGCAGTGTAAAGCTGATAAAACCCAAACAGTGATGTAATTCATGTCTTTTTTAACAAGCAGGTGTAGACTCCCTATCATTATCTTCATTTCTTTTCCACAACATGTGCTGGACACACTATTTGGCTGATGAATGCTGTTGAGGTGAAAAACAAGTGAATACTGGGGTTGTCTATTCAGATAGCTCAGATATACTTTCATACAGCTCCTATCCCCTCATTTTTTAGTTACATTGCATTATTTCTTTTTATATATTTAATGTATTTATGGCTTTCATTGTGCTTGATTTTAGCATGGCAAACAGTGCTGTAATTCCGTTAAATAAAATACCCAAAGGTATCATTTATAGTCTAAGTAGTAGTCCTGTTGGCTTCTGAAGAGGGTAAATGGTTAGCTGATTTGTCTGTGGTGAGGTCACAAACAAGTCACAGACATGTTTGCCTCATGTGAAAATGAGTGTGTAGCTGTTCCTCGCTGTCTATCTTATGGTACTATAAAGCCACATGGTAGACACATTTAAATGTTTTACAAGTGTAATTCAAGAGACTGTAAAGTTTAAGTGTTAAATTTTAATGCAATTTAGTCCAAGTTACAGTAAGATGCATGACAATATATAGGGCTTTATTTTAAGCTATGCACATTAGTTAAAACAATGGCTTCATGGGGTTTTGTTCGATATATTTTTCATGTAGTTATGTATCAGGGCAGGGCTATTTATGCAACTGATCTTTTACAGATGTTCGTTTTTGCATTTATGCTTCAAATTGGCCATAGAAAAGGACTGGTTTAAGATTTGAGATATATCTGTGAATTTCAAAACGTATGTTGAATGATTCCTGAAATAAAAACATGTTATTAATACTGAAATACTTTTTGAAGGATTGTTTATATTTTTAGGTCTCATTGCCTACTTACTACTTATAGCTTTGGGAAACAAGTTATTATGTGATTCTGGAAAGTGTAAAATCAGCAGCCCATGACTTTACTCAACCATCAGCATAACATCATGTCACTGACAACGACTTTCTTCATTCCTCAGTTTGTTTGCTTTTTTAATGGTTTGTCTCTTACAACTTTCCAGGAATGTCCTGAGTTTCATGTCCGAAATAAAAATATTGACCTGCCTTAACTTTCATACAAATATCCCTAGATCTTCGATGTGTTTGTTTCTTTAAATGGGAACACCACTCAAATCAGAACTGGATTGTTTTTCATATATATTGATATTGATACTGTGTGTGTGTATTGCCACTGTACAGGGTGGTTTGATGAAAGCCAGTACATGCTGGAGCCCAACAAATAGGTCTTTTTTCCTGACTGAAGAACATTAATCTTACTTTAATAATAACTTAAGCCACTTGTCCAGACTTATAAAATAAAAATGTCACTGTGATTGTGCCATGTATATTCTTGAGTGTTTTGGTGTAATTGATGTGAATGTTGGTAATGGTGTATGCAGTTTGCAGTGGTTGGAGGATGTCCTGGTATGATCTGTTTGGCATGTGTGCATTGTGTGTCTGCCAAGAGAACAGACGGCTTTCCTCTCCACCGCTCTCCCAATTCAGCCAGCCTAGTTGGAACATAAATCTCTGTTTCGATCTTACAGTTCTTGGACATTCAGCGTCGGGGAGTGCCAGAGGTTTTATTTGTATATCGTGCCTGGTTAAAGCCTGTTTTTTAAGAAATGTTCTTCTTCACAGACGCTGTATGGCATGCTTTCCCTCCCCCTAGTGTGGTTTTGGAGATTAACAGCATAGATCAGAATATCTCATTTTTCATTTGTTTTTTTGTTGTTTCTTTAATCTCTTTATAGCTCACATCTTGGTGTCTTTGCGTAAGTCTCAGCTAAGCAGCATTGCTTGTTCCGAAAGTCAGAAAGTCTGGGTTAGTTTATTTAATGTAAAAGTGTGTAATTTAGATAAAAATTACCCTGAACATTTTTGTTGAACACATATTTATGTTGGTGGGTACAGAACATACTATTACACAGGCTCTAAACATAAACAGAGTACACTTGGTAAATAGCAAACAGCCCACATTCAGGAAAGAAATACATCATACTGAATATATACAGAGAGATGAAAAGTGAGGTTCCTGAAAAAGGACAAGGATTGTACTAAACTGTACTAGTCATTACTATCAATATATCTAACTTTACACTCACCACAAAGCCACAGCTAAATTTGTTCCTGATTTATGTGCAGAAGTTATTTTTGCAGCTACACGGTTCATTTCAAGTAACCCAGCAAGGCTACTTTTCTAGTAAAAATGAAGTTGGTGTTTTAAGTGTTTGCTACTGCTCTCTGTGCTGAAAACACTTTTAAGTGATTGGATTAGATAGAAACAAAAACCAGCAGATGATATTCAAATTGGTCCAGGTGTGTGTGAGTGTTTGTGTTTGCAACCTCAGAAAACAGACAGTCCTGATCATGTCTGTTTCTGTTCTGTTCTTTTACAGGAAAATATGGGATACCAAGGTTGAAGATCCTTCAACAAGGTAATAAAAATGACCCTTTTCAGCCTTTGTTTCTTATCTACAAATGTGCAATTTTATAACAACATTCCTGTATTAACTATACAGGAATTACTACTACTTAATATCATTAAGAAACACTAACAAATTAAAACCAAATTGTTAGTATCTTTAAGAATATGTTACCTACAATTTACTTTCTGTTCTTTGCAGACTGAGTCTCATGGCAAAAAAGAAAGGATTTTGGGTAGAGAAAGTTCATTGTATAGGCACTGAGAACAGTCTCTCAGAGTGCCATGCTCAGCTGTCAATCCCCCGTAGTCCTACCCCTTGTAAAAATGGGAGACATGCAGTGGTCAAGTGTGTACCAGGACCTCAGTTTGCTCGCATCTCTTCAGGAAGACCTCAAGCTCCCTATCCAGTTGTGGTAAGGTTAAGAATTTGTATCTACATTTGCACAATCATGTAGTTTTCTTAGTAAACTGATTTTTATTCTCCCTTTGTTGCCGTATACAGCCTGTTCGTCTCAAGGTGGGCCCCAGACTGGGAGAGGGGCGTGTGGAGGTGCTCCGTGATGGAAAATGGGGGACTATTGTAGATCACTTGTGGGACAGAACAGCAGCCAGTGTTGTGTGCAGGGAACTGGGCTTTGGTACTGCCAAAGATGCGCTGCATGGAGCCTTTATGGGTCAAGGTAAGACTAGAAATTGCTGTTGCCCAAAGCACAGACTTTCATTAAACATTCTGGAAAACTCCACATTTAATGAATTCATTCTGCCTGTATAATTTGGATGCTTGAATGTGTTTCTCATGCGTCATGGTATTCCAGAGAAGACAGGGAGACTTTTCAGCCTTTTGCTTATCTTTTGTTTACCATAGACGCCGCACCCGTCTGCTCTGACTGATCAGATAATGTGTGGGCATGTGTGTTTGTCTGTCTGTCTGTGTATGTTGCCTTGTGAAGCTGCAAATGTGTTGATTGCAGTATCTCCAGCTGTGATTATGTGAGTCTTGTGCCAGGACTTCCAGCTGCCCAAACAGCATATGCATGTGTGTGTAGACAAACACTCACTCACAAAATGAAATACTATAAGCCATAGTAGTTTATATTAGTATTTGATACTAAAGCCAGAGACATAATCTTGCTAGATTCAAGCAAGCTTTTCATTCACTTACTGAGAGCTGTGGTCTTTTTGCTTTAATTTCAAATGTCCAGCTTTGATGACACACACAGACGCAGTCAGTACCCAGCTGCACCAGTGGTGACCCCACCCTTACGAGATGTGAGAACAGCTTCCCCATGCCACATGGTAGGGAGTAGTCTCTAATCTTGCTGATGGAGATTAAATGTGGGATGATGTTCTACTGGTCTAGCTGTTCAGTTGATCACAAAAAACATATTTTTATGTGTTTTATGTGTCGTTTTTACCCGATTACCTCTTGAACTGGCATTTGTGTTACCATAAAGAACTAAAATCAGCTTTTTTTTTTTGGCTTTCCTCAGATTCAGTTGCATTAGTTTGCGTACACATTGTTTTCTGGTTTTAATCAGTTATTTGGCCAGGCTTCAAAGTCATATGTTTAGAATAGACCGAGGTGTATAATTTGTCAGTTTTCTATCTGGGTGGAGTTTCGTTTATTTAACCACAATGTTACAATGTTTTTTACTGGGATTCACTTCACCTGGTTTTCCTATTCATTGCACGCATACACAAACACACAGGTAGAGAGAAACTATTGCAATCATAACTGACAGAAAAACACAGTAGCTGAAAATATTTAATTAGGTTTAAAAAATAAAAATGCCTCAGAATTGGTAGATGTATTCTTCTTACATTTGTTATATTTTACTTCTGTGAGTTGGTTTCTATAATTGGTGATTCACTCATACACTTGCAACCCTGTTTTTTTGTGGCTATGCATTGATCAGAGCAGAAAGCTTTACGATGGGATATTATCTTGACCTTCAAATTTGCTCTTTTAGAGACGTAAATAGGTGGAAATTTTATTCTAGAGGCCGCACAATGCATTGCACTGGCATTTCATCAGCAAAGTATTATAACTGCTTTGCCTCTAGACTTTTAAAATCTTTTAAAAAATGCAAATACAAAATGTCAGTTAACCATGTCACTTAAGTTAGTTACAATCAAAGAATACTGCTTTATGTGGATAACGTTGGAGCACTGATAATATAATGTCACTGATTTCTTGAAACTCTGCAGTCATTTGAAAATAGCAGAAGTGATACACGATAGTATAGTACAATTACACTCCGCTGTCCACTATATTAACCTCAAATAAAGTATATCCAATATGTACCAGGCTGCTACAGACAAACCATACTTCTTTTATATGCATCAGACCAGCTGGCTGCGCCTTGTTTAGCTCACTTGGCGGTTTTAGAACAATAGCAGTGATATGATCTGCTAAGAGTGAATTTGGAAAGCGTCATGCCGCCAGTCCTAAAGTACTCAATATTCAAAGCTCTCTCAGATTCAGCTTGTCATTTTTATTACCTGATTTCCCTGGTGCTCAGAGGACATATGCATACTGGGCTAAATGTCATTTGAAAAGGCCTAGTTAGACTCATAGATGGAATAAACTCTCACAGGAGCAACACATCAATGTAAATTTGTGTAAAAAGTGTTTACTTTTGCCAACTTGCCTATACCTATACATCTTTAACGCACACAAAAAAAAGATTCCTCATCATTTCTTTCGTATCTTTTTGCCAACAGGACCCCACAGAAGAGCATGACTTTATCACATTTGATCATCATAAATAATGTGATAAAGGCTGTGGTCGAGTTGACTGGTTGATTACAGAGTGAAGTGCACCAGTCAGATGTTCTGCCTCTGAATGTGGCCTCCCTTATCAGATTTGTTGAAACGCTTGCTTGCACGTATTAAATGGCCTTTATAGTATACAGACATAGAATATCCCAGCTGGATTAGTGAGATGCCATCTTCTAACTAACCTTGAAATCCAGATGTCAACATAAATATGAAAAATAATACATGCCGATCTCGGTGCAAGTTTGCTTGTGCCATTTAATTTCAAATAAGCAAGCAAATCTGTGCAGAAATTTAAATGACTGTTGCATTTTACAGGGGAAAAAAGTCTTTTGGCAGGGAGAGAGAGAGAGAGAGACATTCCATGGAAAGAAAAACATTACACACATTTAACTGTTCCTAAAATTGAGTTTAATTTCAGAGAGGACAAGAACAGGGTTTCCCTTGTAACCACTAACCAACTATTTGCGCTATTCTCAACAAGAATGTAACTGATATTATGCACTTTCCATCCTCAAAAGTCAATTTTCTAATCTCTTCAAATGATCTTTGGCATATCCCAGTCATAATTACATATCAACTTCGCTCTTTCTTGTATAGACTAAATTTAAGATACCACATTTATATTATGTCTGATTATTGCTCTCATAGATGTATCCACTCTACAACCTAGATATTTTATGCTTGTGTTCATGTTTTAATTATTCGGCAGAATATAAGAGAAGAAAGGTTCTCTTCAGACTCCACCCGCAAACTCTTTAACTCCCATCATCATTACATTTATCATCATCATCATCAGTGAGTTAAATTACAGGGACAATGTTTCTATTTCCTTTCTTAACCAACATTGTTATTTTTGCTGTGTAATTTTACCCGTGAAGTACGTACATATCCAGCCATTTTGATGCAATAGGGGAGATTAGGACTTGGTCTCATTTAACCTAAGCACTGCAGCTGTAAAAACTGTGACAGCTCAGCTGATTCTGGTGTAGAAAAGTAGTAATTTGTTGTTAGAGCTTGATCAGTCATGTGATTGTGTTGTTAATAATTAATACATACAATCAATAACGAATTTACAGTTGTGTGTGTTTAAGTTTGTGTATGTGTGTGTGCTGGCACGCAAATGTGTCTTTTGAGGATGCAGTATTTTTGTTACTTGTTGGCTCTAATGATGATGGTGATGATGGTGCCTGTTGTTGTTTAGATAAAGTTGTGCTTTATCTTAAATTTAGATGATTAGAGATCTTTAGTCTGATTATAATTGATGATCCTTAACCAGTTTTGTTTCCCCTCTTACACTTGGTGCCGTACACCCAGTGTATAATGTTTGTGTACTATAGTCTACACAGTGGGAACACAAAGAGTTTAGTAACACTCTCAGTGGTTGTGTGTATTTGTGTGGATGCAGAGTGCATGTGGCTTTCCTGGAATTTATTTTAAGCTTTTGTGGATTTCCCAAACTAAGGCTTAAATAGATCTTGTCACTGTTCGTTTTGCTTTAAATTGTCCCCCTGTGTTTGTCTTCATATGTTAAACAGTGGGATTTTGGCTCTAGTTTGCGGCATTTACCATGCAGATAGAGGTAGAAGTGGTTTAGATATGTCCTTTTCATCCATATGAACCCACGCATGGTGACCAGTATGGAAGAAGGCCTACAATCTACCAAAACCAACACAGAGACGTATTTGGTTGGGCTGCAATCTGGTCCCAACTATCTTCTTTTACGCCCTTTTTCTTGGTTTTGTTTTTCCCATAGTTTGTGTGGTTTGGTTGTGTTTATTTCAATGCTACTTTATTTCTCAGTTTACAGTTTGTGCTTTGTGTTTTAGGAAAACACGGAAGCCATAGTTTGTTGATATCCTGTCATCGTTATCACACCAGCTATTTCCCTAAGAACTTTTGCATTTTCCTATGTTGTTTAAAGATTATCTGGGTTTAAATAGCAAACAAATCCTTGTCTGAATCCTTTACAATGCTGACATAGCTTTTGCTTTTTTGCTCACCCAAGGTGGTGGACTACACACAATGTAGTAGTCGTTGTTGTTCGTAAATCAAAAGAATGGTGGTAATGAGGTGTGACAGATGCCCAAAGTAGATGTTGGTTGTGCTGCTGCTTGGCTTGCAGAAGCATTTTGTCATGACTGATAGGAACTTTTCATTGTTGGTTTGATGCTAACATAGAGGAAGCTTTTCATATGAAAGGAATAGTGAGCCTCGGTTTTATGTGTTTGCGCTCTTTTGCATGACAGAGTCTCGTAATGCCATTGCATCTGTGGTGGGTGGCCTCAGACAGTCACAAGGGATATTGCCCTTCAGTTATGCCCATGCTCTTTGGGTTTTCATTTGTTCCCACTTTTTTGATGCATCATTTTTTTTAAATCTAATAAATCTCCTCCTTTCTATGCAGGTACAGGGCCCATCCATATGAACAATGTTCAGTGTACTGGGCTGGAACACTCTATTCTAGACTGCTACTTCCAGGAAGTCCAACCATGGACATTCAAACACAGCCAGGATGCCTCAGTACGCTGCAACGTTCCTAAAACAGGCACAGAAAAGACGGTATGAAATCTACACCATCACAGTTCATGAGCTTATGAGCTTTCACTTATAACACACCATCCACTTAATTCTTTTAATTCAATGGATTTCAAGGTGCGGCTTGCTGGTGGTAGAGTCCCATCAGAAGGCCGTGTAGAGGTGTTGATGGAGGTTGGGGGTCGTAAACGCTGGGGCTCTGTCTGTAGTGAGAACTGGGGCATAACCGAGGCCATGGTGGTATGCAGACAGCTGGGCCTGGGCTTTGCTGCCAGTGCTCATCAGGTAACTATCCCCTTGACAAACATAACAAGTTATTTTGATCTCTTTTTATAGTGCAACCAACTTTTGCCAAAGTATTGTCATCAGTATCTGAAATGTTCTAAAAGGACAACGAAGCACTCCCACTTCTAACCCAATTAGTTTAATTTTGAAAATGTCAGAGTAAAGTGGTCAGAGCCATCTTTCCTCTAAGATTTATCAAAATCTAATCTGCAGTGTCTTAAGGTATTGATGAGAAATAAATGAACACGTAGAGACCAATCCATAGTCACAGCCCCTTCATTAACTTCAACAATGACTGGGAAATGATGACTATGATACTATTTATTGATAGAAAACTCTACACCCTTCCTTTGACAGGAAACCTGGTACTGGCCTGGCGACCCCAGTGTCAACGATGTGATTCTCAGCGGAACTCACTGCGTGGGAACAGAGCTTTCAATTCAACAGTGTCGTCGTAACAACCATATCCATTGTCCTCGTGGAGGTGGAGCAAAGGCTGCTGGGGTCAGCTGTTCTGACAGTAAGTTGCAGTTTTTACCTGTAGTCTTCCCTTCTCATTCAGTTTGAATCTTAAGATAATCTGTTACACCTGCTTCAGCGGCACCTGACCTTGTTGTGGATGCCCAGCTGGTCCAGGAGACAGCCTACCTGGAAGACCGTCCTCTCCATCTTCTGACCTGTGCCAATGAAGAGAACTGTCTGTCATCATCTGCTGCCAAGATGAACTGGCCTTATGGCCACCGACGCCTGCTGAGGTTCTCCTCCCGCATCATGAATTTGGGTCGTTCTGATTTCAGACCCAAAGCATCGAAAGAGAGCTGGACATGGCACCAGTGTCACAGGTATATTATCCCTGAAAAGAGGTAAAGAGAAGTGTAAAATTGCTTTACTGTTTAGGAGTGTGGGTTGACGGAGTGGAAAAAAACTTTAAAATACTGATGTAGGATGTTGTGGTTGCCCTTATGGTCACTCTGAGTGTTTTGGGTTTTCACGAGCTGTCAGAAATATTCAGGCAAAAGCATGTTCTTTATTCCACATATGAATGTGGAGTAATGCTCCTTACACACTGAGTAATTAAAGGTATATTTATTTTAATTGCATTCAATTGCAACCAGGGAAAAAAAACATACTGATGTGTGATCTCATTCCCGTGGACACGGCAGGAAGCGTGCAATATGGCCAATAGACATAAGCGCCTTTGTCCATCACTAGGTCTCAGTTTCTTTTCAGTAGGAACAGAGCACTTTCAAACCTGTCAGGATAAGTGAAGAGGGTGGCATACTGTGCTGACTGCGTGAGATGTCCCAAATCATGAACCCTTCTACAGCGCGTGTTTGTGGAAATGATGGTTGCAATCGTCTGGCTACCACAGGTTAGGTGTAATACAAAGGACCGTGCAGCCTACGTGCAGTCAAGTCTGCCTCAGTTTATTACAACATATCAGAGCTATGGATGTGCGTTTCAAAGCCTGCCATTCATTTAGAATGAATAAACATTTCAACCAAGCCAGAACTAAAATAAGCTTCTGTGAGAGGTGTTACGGTGACACCCTCTCTCATGTTCAAGCAGTGAGGTCATAAGGATATAAGCCATAGGGAGCTAGTGTTCAGTAAGTGTAAATGCACACACTCAGACATGCAGACACACACATACACGCTCTCACCTGGACTTTCCCATCTGTCGTCACAGGCACTACCACAGCATTGAGGTGTTCACGCATTACGACCTGCTGACTCTGAATGGCACGAGGGTTGCAGAGGGACACAAGGCCAGTTTCTGTCTGGAGGACACATATTGCCCTGATGGTAATTTTCAGCACAATTCAGCCCTCCTTCCAAAAAAACCCATAATGTTTCCCATTAGTGACAGAAAATTAATATCAATATTTCAGCTACAGCTATTCAGATTTTTACTTTGTGGTTAATGTATTAGATCGCCGCTGTTGTTGTTTGTTCACTCTCCATTTACTTGTTATATCATGGATGAAATAGCTCATATGAAAAAGCCCATTGTTCATACAGTATGCAGTCCAGTACAATTCAGAAAGCTAAAGGCTCTTAAAAATAACAGGGAGTGCCAAGCATTAAATGAGCTTTGATGTTGTGATTGATAATGTTGCTGATATGTATTTTAGGCCTCCAGAAACGCTTTTCCTGTTATAACATGGGTGATCAAGGCATCTCTGTGGGCTGCTGGGATACATATCGGCATGATATCGACTGTCAGTGGGTTGACGTGACTGATGTACGGCCAGGAGACTACATATTCCAGGTCAGAAGTTTATATTTGTCACCTTTTCTTTTTCCAATGTGGGAAAATTTTATTGCCAGAAAAATGAAATATAAGTAACTTTGCTTTTCAGAAAACACTTTTAAGTAAAGGGAAATAGGCTTATTCTGTTAGAAAAGTAGGTTTGTTTGGTTAAAATGCAACTACTGTCAGCACAAACTGCAGACTTCTAAGTTATCTCAACAACCTTCTTGTGACTGGTGGAGAATTAATCTGCTGAAAGATCTGCATATAACAATGATATTTTTACACATATACTTTTGTTCTGATTACACAAACATGATACTGTATAATATGCCCTTTAATGAGCTTCTGTTTTCAAAGCTAAGCTAAGTGATTGTTGGCTGCATTATGTATGGCATACATTTAGAGTACTGTGCACAAATCTTAATCAACCTTCATTTTGTAAACTTATTTTGCAAAGTGGTCTTGAGCAATAGTTCTCTAGCCTTTCTGAAAGTCTTTTTCTTTGGACTTTGAGTGCTTTTTCCACTCACTTTCAGGTGATTATATCTTTAGGCACTTTGTCTCTAGCAGGCTGTTTCAAAAGCACATATATGTTCCAATGTCATTTGTTGAATCTATGTAAAATGCCAATGATAACAAAATGTCACAGGCATAAAATAATAATTTTGCGCAAACAAGGTGATTCCTAAAAACGTATTAGCTGAAAACTTGATCCACCTTGCAGTACTATCTGGAAAGCATCTGATTGGAAACAGCTTCATTTTTCAGCATGGCAATGATCTCAAACACACTGCCAATGCAGTAAAAGTATACCTGGATAGAAAAACACATGATGGAACAGATCTCAGACCTCAAAATTATCTAAATAGTGTGAGATCATCTGTACAGTTAATGGAACAAAAGGCAGCTACCCTGCAAAGATGAGCTTTGAATGTCTTTCAAGAAGCCTGGAGAACAGAGACTACTTAAAGAAATGATAAGAAAGCTTGCCTAAGAGAATTCAGGCTGTGTTGAAGAATAAAGGTGCTCATACCAAACATTGTACAACCTATGCTTTTACTTTGTATGCTTTATTTTGGACACTTTAACCCCTTAGCAGTCCAATTAGTCCCCTAAACCATCCAATGTACCGTGGGCGGTACGTCCGACTGCTAACAGGTTAATTCGTTGCTGCACCTATTTCCCATTTTCCTAACAGAATGCAAAGAAAATGGTTGGCTTAGGACTTTTGAATAGTATTTTATGAGTTCAGTATTAAGGTTCTCCTCTAATTTCCAGAAAAAAATCACATTTATTTCTTAAAATGTTCAACTGGTTCGTCAAGATCAGAGATCCTTTTATTAAGAGAGGTTCGCAGGCTTTAAAGGTGGATTTCCTCATGGCTGGTTGTGGTTTCTGTCTATTTCAGTAAAACCTACTGACCTTCTTCTAAACAGTCACCACCTTAACCATTCATGTGTCTCTCATTTCTTTGTCGACTGAAGTCATTGTGGCTGCCAGTCTAAAACACATCAAGGACTCCATATCTCATTATCTTCCTTTTTCAGTACAGACCTCTGATCTACCAGTCTTCAGATATGAGCATGCTCCTAATTACCTTCTCGATGTGGTAGACTGGTTACAGTATAGCTCACTGTTTGATAATTATTGCTGTTACTCAGTTTGTCTGAGAGGTTGCACTAGGTCTTTGTAATTAACACTGTTCTGCTGTCTGTTTAGGAAGAGTTCATTTAATTTTGGCATGATTGATGTGTCATACTCATATATAAAGGCGTTTGTTAACTGTATGTATTTTGAGTAAGATGAGTGGGCGTAATTAAGTGGCACACTGCTGTAGCATAGTATGGAGGCAAATAAAGGCCAATACATGATAGAACAGGCAGAAATTGAGTTATATCAAATGACAGGAAGAGACAGGAAACGATGAAAGTGCAAAGGTCATCATGAAAGGGTATGAACCAATTTTAACTGAGAGAAACGAGAAAGTAAAACCTGTGAAGGAGTTTTTCACTGAGGCTGCAGAATTGGAAAAATACAAACATCTCTTATAGCAGTGCTCCTCTGTGCTGTGTTCTTTCATTTATCTAGTAAAGTGCAGATGATGCCTGACTACAGATCGCAGGCTGTACAGGAGGATTTAGCAGGCCTGCCCTTGAACCACCCAGTGCTAATGAAACACACAATTTACCCAAATTAACTAGTGCCTCCCTTTAGTCAAACAGCACCTAGTTCCCTTCTTCCATTAGGAACGGCTAATTTACCACCAAGGAATTTCTCCTGCCCTGTTTTTATTTTTATAGCTACTTTCTCACTGAGCAACGCACTCTGTCACCGAACCAATCTTCTGCAAAAGCCTCATACACTCTGGTCCAACACTGTAATTTACACTGAAAAATTAAGAGAGTTTTTCTGCATTCACTGTGTTTTTAAGATGGTTTCTCCCTTTTTTTAGTATAGTTAGCCTTCTTGCTTGCTTTAAGCAGTTTGTAACCTGTACTTAAAGTGGGTGCAGCAGTTTGCAGAGCAACCATTACAGTAAATGGCGTCTCAGTATTATCACCAGACCAGATTAGGAGAATGGTTGTATCAGCAGTTACAGAGTTGCTCTGCAAATGACAGACTAGGCTATTAGTAGAGTGTATGGCAACATTCAGAATAAGACTAATTTCAGACACATAAACATTCTTATGCATAACTACTCTTTTGCAAAAGACTTCAATTTCAGGCTAATTTCAGGCCCTTGTTGTGCACTCCAATGTCAGCATGAGGAGCAGAGAAGATTTCCCTTGCAGACACTTTGGGCACCTGTAAATTTCCAGAGCTTCTTACATGGCCAGTTGCCATAATTTGTGTAAACTGTTAAATCTTTTTGTACAAGATGTAAAAGCAAGAAACAATAGAATTTCTGTGGTCAAACAGTATATTTTGTGCTTTGCATAACAAAAGCATTTTACTGCCCCATGTTATTCAGTGTATATATTCAGCTGTAGACTACCAGCTTTAGGTTCATGTGAAAGTACCACATAGTGTATTTATCCTTACAATAGTAATACTGTATGGAAAAGTCATCCAACTTTTTATAGATGAGAAACAGACTGACTATAAAAACAATACCAGCTACGAGTGCAGTTTAATAACAGGGCCTCAATTTTAAATCCAACTGCTCTTTATTTAAACTGCTTTCCCATGTGTGGGGAGAAGAGACTTGTTCCTTCCTTAGCCACGAACATGGTCTACTGAGGATACTTTACTAGACCAAAGTGTGCGCCCTGTTTCCTAATAAATAACGTCCTATATTATCGTTTTATTTTGCAGGTGGAAGTCAACCCCTCACTGGACATGGCTGAGTCTGACTTTATGAACAATGTTATGAGATGTCGGTGCAAATATGATGGCCACAGAGCTTACATGTATGGATGCCATGCAGGTGAGGATACTAAAAATCTTTCTGTTTTTTTCACATTGCCGTAAGTTTCAGCTCTCACCTCTTATTAATGATGTTGTTCCTTTACAGGTGATGCATATAGTGCAGAAACTGAAGACCTGTTTGAGCATCAGAGGCAAATCACCAACAACTTTCTGTAGCCTGTCCCAGGTTCCAGGAGGAGGCCTTCTCATGTGGCCCCGGGACCACTAAGGTTGGGTTTACGTTGATGGCATCAGGCTCTTTGGATATTAGGACCCACAATAATATGTAAAACTGTGCCTGCTCATCTCCTTGCAAGATGTGGAAATAATAATACACAACAGCGGCCATTGCAGAGACACTACTCAACTCACCGACTACAAGAGTTGGGAGGTTAAAGATGGTCGACATGTTTTTTACTCTAGTTAAGTAAGATTTTTGTTATTATAACTACAATATTTTTTGTGAATGTGGACTACTAGTAACTTAAATTAGATTTTAAAAACACATACACATGAAAGACCTTCATGTCACTGTAACTAACCTGCCACAAAGACAACAGGGATGCCGATGCTGTAAGGAAATGACACTTTCCCCCAATATCATGATAGAAACTTGGGATTGGATCATTTGTAATACTTGTGTTATTGGTGCTCTTTAACAATACTGTATGTCATTATATTAACCTCAGTATATTTCAGGTGAACGGTACATTCTGGGTAGTTTTCCTTTCAGATTATTTTTACTTTGGTTTAAAGAAAAATCAGCATTTTACAGAAGTGTAGCTGTCCCTCTCATCTAGAGTAGATGTCAGATTATTTTTGTGGAACAAAGCACTTTATCTTTTAAACATCAGTATTCTAGTTTTGTCCCCACTCTTGTTTCATTAACCATTAAGAATTTTATCGTTTCATATTTACATGTCAAAAAGTGAAATACAAAGGGGTTTTTTCCATATTCAATGTGTTATTTATGCTATACATTATTACTTTATTTATTCATGAAATTGACACCTAAACAACATTCTTAGTCAAGACGTTGTTAGCTAGAATCTATATAAAATGTTTTGCTGTTTTTCTGGACCAGTGGATAAATCATTTATACAGTTGTTAAAGTATTTGGTATTTGAATGACCCCATAATACAGCTGAATAATTGTAGATATATTTTATTATATTAGTAAAACAACTGTAATGGTAAAGTGTTTTTTTTCCCTCTTCCACCCTCTCTGATGGGAGAGAAAACTGGTGTGACAAGACCACAGCATTGGGGCAGGCAAGAAGGCAGGCTGGGTTTTGAGAGCATATAAAAAGCCTTTTAATTGCATACGTTCGGTTAGACTTACTGTTAAGGTTAACATTCGGGGTATAGCAAAGACATTGCAAAGAAACGCTATGGAGTAGTTACTTAAAAGGGACAAATTTGTGTTTGCGTGTTTACATAGGCTACAAGAAAAAGATTTTCTCAGAGATTTGGCAAGTGAGGGAAAGAGAGGATGGAAAAGAAAAGGAGAAAGACAGAAAGGGATCAGGGTTTGGAGAAAGACTCAAGCAGACATACAGTTTTACTACCAAATCTGTGTTTTTTTGTAGGCAGCCATACAGCAACCACAAGCTGGCATTTTCAGCTCTCCTACGAGAACAACATGTTTGTCTGGGAGAAAAAAAATGGAATAAAATGTCCTGTTCATGTTTCAACACTGGCCTTGTTTGTGCTTACAGAAGGCCTGGTAAAACATACTGTATATTGTACACTTTTGCTGAATCTCTTAGCACAGCAAACAATAATACAACATTTTCTTTACAACGTGGAACACGTGTTAATGATGTTATTTTACCCATTAATGTGTTTGATGTGTTTGGCTTACTGGCTTAGTGGTTAAACCCATTAAGATGGTTTTCTAATGGACAGATTCCAGGACATGTTGTGGAAGAGACACGTCACTCATAAAGACAGCTGCAGACTTAATTAATTTCTTCAGCAGATTGGCGTAATCCAGGACTCTTTTTTTTCCTTGACAAAGAAGGCCCTTTACAGCTCTGTAATCATGCATGCCCAGCTAAACAAAGAGATTTTTTGGGGGGGAAAGTCTAAATTTACTGTTTGCTGATGCTTTTCTGTTGTTTTGTGCTTATGTACAGTGTATTTTGACATATTACGGCCTTTTTCTGTGTTATTTAACATTATATGCCACTCCATAGCTTAAGTGGCTGTATATTCATCATATTACTGTATTGTTTTCTACGGCCAGTTGTGCTTTAATTCTGTCTTTTAAGCTGAGAGTGTGATCTACGTGGTGCTTATCTACAAAGCTGTACTCTCAGGGATTTTGACCTCATCTAAAAACTAAAAAACATGATGTGATTAAGTTTGCTCTTAGCTGTGATGCATACCTTATGACACCAAATAAACTGGATCTGTTTTGTTTTTGTTTTTTCTAATTTTATTTTTGTCAACACTCTTACAAAATGTAATCTGTACCCACATGTTTATCTTGCAGGTAAAATTTAAGGTATGAAGGTGATAAGCTTTGTTACGTCTTTCCTTGAGGAAAGTTAGATAGACACTGTCTGAGTCGGAGCCACATTTCAGTTAAAGAACAAATCGCAATCCATTCATCCATCATAACTGTGAATCAATAAAACTTCATCACATACAAAGTTGTCCTCTGTTTTCTGCCTCCTCCTTGCATGATGTTGCAGAATACTTGTTGATGAGAAAACGAATCAAATTCTGTATGAACTCGGTAAAAACTGTAGATGTGATATTATGTGTAGCATTAACTTTTACCTGCTCTTGATGTGCAAGTTAATTGGTGGGAAGATATGTGTCGGGTATCTTATGTTCTTCAGTTTTATATTCCCTTTTAAGATCTTAGGTTTGCTCTGACTCAGTCCCCTTGTGAATACTGCCTCTCAGGGGAACTGAGAAATTGACTAACCATTCCAGTAAAAAAACAAGAAAGCATTAATGACTAAATCCAAACATACCAACTTTGGGAGACGTGGGTAGAGTAATCAACTATGTCTGAACAGAAAGTTTACTTTTAACAAAAGTCTGATTTGATCACAGCTGACAAATCCACCCAGAAAGAAAACAGCAGAGCTGTGAAGTGGTCACTCGCTGAGATGAAACAGCTGCTGGGCAAACAAGACAGGAAAACTTGAAAGCAGAGCACCTGGGGTCATGGAGTGAGTTCAGCATCCTTTCACCAAAGCGCACACGCACTATGAGGCAAAACTTGACTTTATCTTGACTTCTTTAAAATAAGTTATTTTTATGCTAAACTTTTTAAGTGAACCGCATGCAACTTGGAAAATTCCACATGTGTCTTTTACATTTTCACTTGTTCTCTGGAAGACAGTTCCTTACTTCTTTGGAAAGCACGCAATTATCATTTCATGCAGGCAGACACAAGATACTAGTGTCTGCTAGAATACGTGCTAGAATATGATTTTGTTAGTCAGAACTTGATTAAATCTCCAGAAGTGCTCATGCTACAGTGTAGACACATGTGGAACTCAAGCAAACGACATCATTGTATTGAGATGAATCAGAAATTGAGGAAGGAAAAACCGAGGAAATATGAGCATACCCCATTCATAAGCAGTTCTCATTTTATCCTTACATGCCCACTTCCTGTTTGCAGCACATGTTTTTATTTGGAGAGCCCCCACTCCGCCCTGACCTAATGGAGTCCACAGACAGCTCCACAATGGAGACTGTGTGTTCTCAGTGACAGACCTGTCCATACAAGCTACAGGGAACCCACCAACCATTCACACGCCAATAGTCTCTCAAATACACACACAAACAACTGAACTACATAACAGGCTTTGCCGTCATCTCTTTTGGAGGCAGTGTTCCATGGTGTAGCAGACAGACACCAGTGGATTTCTTGATAATATCTCAGATTATTGAGCAGGAATGCTGTCCCTGAAAGCCACGTGACAGCTTTTTGCCTTCACGTTGACTTGCTTTTTTCTGAATCACTTTCAGGAAGATGAACTTATATAATGTTTGAATTTGAAACTATGCTGAAGATGATCACTTGGGTTTTCCTCCACTTGGGATTGAGTTTCCTGTTCTCTTTGCTTTGAATGTGTGCAGTATCTGCTCATGAATCATAAGCAGACCACCTGACATACAGCTCATCACCTGGAATTGTTAACGTTTACTGACAATGAGACGCCTTGCTAAATAATGAACACATTTGCATAATTGTAGAGAAAAGCATATCGCAAGACACCGCTCATTTTCCACGTAAGGCTCGTTGAGAGAGGAAATGAATAGGCAGCGATACATAATGACTTACAGGGGCAGATTAAGTAGAGTGCCTCTGCTTAGCTGCTTTGAGAATTTCATCCAGTTCTGCATTGTCTGAGCATTTTGTTGAACTGAATTTGTCTTCACACATGTGCATGTTATTTAGCACGTTCACTACCCCAACCCCTTCCCTCCCCAGCCTGGACCTCTCTTCTCCCCTAAGAGATTTATTGCAAAACAGCCCTGTGAGAGAGTACACATGCTCTGCCCAGTCTCAGTACTGCACCCTGACAATTACTGCTATATATACCACTCCAAATGAGAGCCATGAACCGGCCTGATTACAGGGTGGAGCAGGAGCAAAGAAGGAGAAGGGGGAAAATGAAAAAAGTGAGGCTAGTTGAGATAGAAAGGGAGAAGAGGAGGAGTGGCAGAAAGACAGAGCAGAAAAGGGCAGTGCAATTTGAAGTGACTAAAGTCTGCTTGAAATTGTCTTATGCTTTCTTCATAAATCCTAGTGCATGTGACAAGCTGTGTTTTAGTCTGAATCACTTTGAAAATGAGGAAGTAGCAGAGCTTAGATTAAAGGCACGAGAAGCATGCAGTAAATGAGCAGCACCTTCTTCTAGTCTTTTTTTTGTGTGTGAAAAGTATCAAGATTATGATCTCTGCTCGCGTGTTTCTCATTAAATTGCACAGTATAGCTTTAAGTACTAGAATACTATATAAGCAAGAAGTTCCAAGTTTGGTAAAGAAGTGCTGCCCTCTTCTGGGATACCAAATAAATTGAATATGGCAAAAACAGGAGAAAGATTTGAGAGTTAAATCACTGTGCAGATCATTTTCTTGTGCACAGTGTATCGAACAGCAAAGTCCAAACCGAGATAACAGCATATGGAGAGAACTATTTCTGGAATCCTGACAGGAAAATAATAAAAGAAAAGAATAATGTTTGACACCAACAGTTTGTTAGATTAGGCAACTTCAACCGACTATGTACAGTTACTGCACATATTCCCTATTCATCTCTCACTTTCCCAGTGGCTGTCCAATATAGATCCTATTACTTCAGCATAGTGACAGCCTCCCGTCAATGATTGGGCTGCCCTGTGGTCACCTAAGTCAGCCTGTATGGTGACGTTGGGCTGTCTACAGAAGAACTGACAGCCAGGAGGTTATATCACAGCAAAAATCCCCACATATGATTTAAAAATTGACTGCTAAATCTAATCGATAGCTGTAGCAGAGCTCAAACCCCCGTGATAAGCCATTTACTATTTAACTAGATAGATCAGTCTAGCTTATAGGGTCATGAGGTTGTGGGGGGGAAATGGTGAGAAATGGGAGAAATGGCTGTTCATTTTAATCCCCCCTCCGTGTGCAGAAACCATACCTATGGGGAAGAGCAGCACAATCACATTACCCATGGACTAGTTTTCATCGTACAGAAACCCACGCTCTGCCTCACTCCAGCGGCTCGCATAATTGGAAGCATCTTGGCATGA